GACGGGGTGCAACATTATACCCTTTTTTTATTTTGTGTGTGTCTTAAGTCAAAGAGGAGAGTGCTCTAATAGATGAGTGATGATCAAAAATATAATAGTCACATATGATAACATGAATCGTAAAATGAAAGGCTGAAAAATATTTGGTGATTTTATCATTTAGAAAAATGCTCGAGGAGTGGACCTCCAATTCCCATGAATTTATTACGAAAAAGCTCTTTTGATTAAAATAGACAAATGAGAATGGAAATAAAGGGTAAAGAACAGGGGCAAAAGAAAAACTGGCGAGGGACGGAGCCAACAAGGGAGGTGTGGTGTCAATTGACACCACTGAAAAAAATTCCTCATAAGTAGTTATATAAAATTTTTCAAAATTCTAAAATTGACACCATTGAAAAATAAAAATTCTTTGTATAGGTATATGTAATGTTTCATAAATTATAAATTGACACCACTCGAAAAGGATGTGGAAAATCTAGTGAACAACAATTACAACATTCTACGGGAGCTCGTGTTGAAGTTGATTTTAGAAGAGCTTCCGTTATATCCCGGACAACGAAAAGGAATTTTTAATTATCATCCGGATGATCAAGATAAGGTAAGAAGGAAATATTTACATAATGGCCCATGTCAACCATGCATCCATACCCCCAAAAAAACATAGGCAATGACTAGAATATAGTATATCGAAAGATTCGGCATATTGCTTACATTGTTATCTTTCTAGACAAGACGTGGGAAAACAAAGTGGTGGTGAGGCATTTATAATGGAGGGTTTTCTTCATTTGAAAAAAAGGAGAGATTTAGTATTCATGTAGGACCTCCTAATAGTGCTCACAATGAAGCTGTGAAAAAGGTTGAGTGTTTGATGAATTAAAATCAACACATCAAACAGTTTTGATTAAACAGACAAATCAAGCTTGAACTGAAGATCGTACTAGATTGACCGCTTCCATTGATTGTATTCAGTTCCTCTTGTGTAAAGGGCTAGCATTTTGAGGTTGTGATGAATCAAAAGAGTCAAGTAACCAAGAGATTTTTTTGAACTCTTAACTTTTCTACCAAATCATAATGAAGGTATTCATAATGTTGTTTGAATAATGCTCCCAACAATTTGAAGATGATTGTTCATGATATTCAAAATGACATTATAATGGGTTTCTGAAATATATTGTGTTCTTTAACTGCGCAATTATCTTCAAAAATTTATTTGAATGCCTTTCTGATTGAATTTTTAGCTAAAATTTGGTATGGGTAACCGTCCCAAATTTAGCAAAAATTCATCAAAAAATTCCACTGGGAACCGCCTCAAATGCGATGGCCAGATAGAGCCTCCTATATGAGGGGTGATTTGCACTTTTTAAGTTAGTTCGAGGGCTGATTTTCTACTTTTGCCAAGAAAAATTGTACAACATTTTCAAAATATGAAAACGCGCCGTGGCCGGACAGTTGTGCATTAGTACTTTAATTTATTAATGACAATATTTGCTTTTTTTGCTTTATACTCCCTCCGTCCCCTTTTAAATGTCCCGTTTTACCATATTGGGATGTCCCTATTTAAATGTCTCATACCTTATTTGGTAAAGTTTGTGTGACTCAAAATCATTCTTACTTTATTCTTACTTTATCAATTAATATCAACCACACAAACCCACTTTCCTTAAAACCCGTGCCACCCTCCTCCGGGACATTTAAAAGGGGACGGAGGGAGTATGTGTATAGACTATTATATAATAGTATTATGCTTAAAAAATAGTGCTTTGTTAAATTGACACCACTGACATCGGTTCCTGCCTCCGTCCCTGGAGGTCCTCACAAGGAATAAATAAAAAACAAAGAGGAAAAAATGTGGCTTATAATTTTGACATGGAAAAAAGAGAAGATCGGCGATTGGTGGCTACTAATGATCCATTTGGTTTGTGGTAATCTCACATGAAGGTCGGAATTTTGATACAAGAAATGTTAGATGTCCATGTTTGATTCGTGAAATTGAGAAAAAATTGGAGAATATTCTCAGAGGTGCAAGTTATTTGACATTCCCGACTCTCGAAAATGACATAATTTTCTTTCGAAAATATCATCAGTTAATTACCTTTTTACATTTAATTTCTTTTCGACTCTTCCACTTAAAGATTCTCGTCCACTATTATCCAGACAACGTAAATGTTTGTAATGTAATTTTGAATATGTAAATTTTATTTATTAAAAATAATATAATTATTGACTGGGATCAACTAATTTTATGATTAGTCAAATATTATCAATTGTGTGACAACCTATTAAGTGGAATGGATGGAGTATGTTTTTTTTTTTTAATAATATGTTTATTTAATTATATTCGATTACCTTAGATTTTATTTAAAATGTGCTTTACTTAAATTGGAATCGTGCCAACGCATTCCACATTAGATTTCAATTTGCACAAACAAAAGAAAACATATTTTATTGGGAACAAAGGGCCACCCCCCCCCCCCCCCCCCCAAGTTATCACTATAGGGCATCTAAGCCCTTAAACTTAATTTTGGAGCGAAAAACTCACTTTTCCATTAAAAGAGGACATCTGCCTCTTCCCTAACAATATACTCCCTCCGGTTTTCAATAAACTTCACACTTTCCTTTTTGGGACGGTCTAAAATAAACTTCACACTTCCTTATTTCCTTTTTTGGTAAAGAAATCTACATCAAAACAGTGCCAAACAGTGTCTCTACTGTCCCAAACAGTGTCAAACAGTGCCTCAACAGTGTACTCTACAGTAAAGTCAAATTTCTTTCCTTATTTTGTGTGAAGTCAAAGTGTGAAGATTAAATAAAACCGGAGGGAGTACATACAGAGTAGTTAACTTGTGAACAAATGGTGAATGCAAATACACCCTAGAATTTTCTCTAGCTAAAAACACCTTAACTCTATAATTCGTGCAAGTAGTTAAAAAATATGATTAATTAAACACAGGCTATTAAGTGGCTGATTAATTTCTGCAAGTGAAGTTTTTGGTTTATGAGTATTTTATAATTTTTTGAGGTATAATCTATTTATGTCTAGTCAGGTTTGCATTTACCACATGTTCTCAACCCAGGCTGTCAAGTGTTAACTACTCCCGTGCGTCAACTGTTAGTGGGGGGGGGGGGGGGGGGGGAGATGCCCTCTTTTAATGGAATATGGTGTTTTTTGCTCCAAAATTAAGTTTAAGGGCTTAGATGCCCTTTAGTGGTAACTTTAGGGGGAGATTTGCCCCTTTTCCCTATTTTGTTTGTGAATGAGATTCACAGTAAATAATTCTTTCACAAACATGATATATATAAAAGTGCGTATAAAGATGAGTATAAATATTTTTTTTAAAAATAAAATTTGCCATTTTATGGTCAGGAGAAAGACCAAAAATGACATTATGGTTTTTAACGAAGCTCAGATTAGACACTAAGGTTTTAGTAGACCAAATAAACACAAAATTATAGTTTTTGGTTCACCCATTAACTCCTATGTTAAACGGCCCTTCTACATCGTTAACTCCCCCATTTGATTAAAGCTGCTTGGATTCAGGGGAGCAGACAACAATGGCATGGATCTGTATTAAGGAGAGCAGGCAACAATGGAGGTCGATCGCCCTGCCTCGAGGATTACCTCCGTTGTTTCACCATCGCATAATCACGACATCACCCTAGCTATAACTACCGCTGTTGTTTCACCTCTGCTTCGCTGTCAAAGATGTAGTGGAATTTCAGCTAACGTCTGATTGATTTTCACAGGAAATGTGATATTAAGGAGGAAAGTGATAGGGCCAGAAAACTTGTTCAACAAAACTGAATTTCTGCTGTAACATGAAACTAAATAAGTACCTCTCCAAGAGCCTTTGATGAGAAACGACGATTTCAGAGCAAGCAACCATATGTCGACCTCGGCCAAGTTTCCTAGTAAACTGCGAATTCAATTTCTTCTCAGCCGGGAAAGTAAAATAGACTTCATCTCCTACTTTTATATTTCTACCCTTGATGTAAGATTGGGTAGGGGTGGGCGACGGTGCGGTTGTAGGCAGCGACAATAGGTGAGGGATGACGTTAGGCTGGTGACGAGGGCTAAGAGGCTGAGAGGGGGGTTGCGTGGGGCTGTGGATGGGGCTCGGGTGGGGGCTGGTTTGGGAGGTTGGGGATGGCTGGTCGGAGCTCGGGGTAGGGAGGTGCGGGGTTTGGCTGCTCGGATCTGGAGCTGGGAGGGGCAGGGTGTTGGGCTTGTGTGGGGCAGGGGCTGTGGGTGATGTTTGGAACGATGGGGTGTTAAAGAAACGGAAGGATTGTTTAACAGACACTTAAAGGTGGTCAAAATGGAACCAAAAACTACAATTTTGTGTTTATTTGATCTACTTAAAACTTTAGTGTCTAATCCGAGCTTCATTAAAAACCTTGGTGTCATTTTTTATCTTTCTCCCTTTTATGGTCACTGAGGTTACGTTAGTGACATTGCAAGAAAGCATCGCGGTGGAGTAGTTAGACAAAAGTTACTTTGCTTACAATAAATATGCCAAAATACTTAATTAAAGATGCAGTTTTAGTAAAAAAAAAAAAATTGTACTCCCTCCATCACATTAAATTCTTTCTACTTAAATTTTGAGATGTCTCATTTTTTCTTTCATTTCTTTAATTATAATATTTTGTGTAGTTAACATCCATTTACATTTTTTTTACTAAATCACAATTATATATTCTCACTTTCTTAATATTTGATCCAATCAAATGGAGGAAAATTTTGTGAGACAAAGTACTTGTCTTAAACTTTTCTTTTACAACTCCTATGATAAAAAAAAACCTTTCTTTTACTGATATCATAATTATACGGAGTATTCTTCTAGTAGTAAATTCTTCTAGTAGTAATTAATAGGAGTATCGTCACTAATCACTAATTCACTATCGTGGATGCCGTTGCATTCTGGAGTCACGAAAACAAAATTTGAAAATTTTAAAATAAATTTATCATTGTTGATTTAATAATGTACACTCCGTGATAATAGGCAGGGGCATCGAAGCGCGCTTTCCAATTTTCAAATCCACAAAACGGCCATTTTCACTCTCTTCTTCAAATCTCTCTGCCACCATCTTCATACCTCCATAGCCAGTCACACCGCAAATCTCCAGCACAATGGCCACTCTTACACCAGGAATCCTCTTGAAGCTCCTCCAGTCGATGAACACGAACGCCAGAGTCACCGGCGACCACCGCTCTCCGCTCCTCCAGGTGATTGGAATCGTGCCGGCGCTTTCCACGTCCGATTCCTTGTGGGCACATCACGGGTTCTATGTTCAACTCTCCGACTCTCTGAATTCCACCTACGTCTCCCTCTCCGACCGAGACACGGATCTCATTCTCACCAACCGTCTTCAGCTAGGTCAGTTTGTCCATGTCGAACGCTTCGTCTTTGACTCCCCACCCGTCCCACGCGCAGTCAATATCCGCCCGATAGCGGGTAGGCGCAGCTCTGTTGGGTCCCCTGAGCCTCTAATCGCTCGGATCTCTCCTAAGAACGGAGGGTTTGTTATCCAGCCAGTCACGGATTCGGACCCCATTGCTGCATATTTGCCGAGAAGTGGAAGAAGTGAGAATGAAATTAAGGGGGCCGGTAAAGATGAGGACAAAATTGGTAACAGAAAAGTTTTTTCTGCAAAGGAGAACGTTGGTTTGGAAGACCCTTCAAATAAAACTGTGCCTGAGAAGTCTACACCCGCGCCGGCTGCTCCTCAAAGGTTTTCGTCCCCAGGATCTGCGAGGCAGAGGTCAATATCCTCAAGTAAGAAAAGCGTTGCTGCGGAGAGAGATCCATCGCCTGCTGGAAAAGTGAAGAGGTCAGCATCACCCGTGCCATCCAAGTGTGTCGTGCCTAGCCTTGTGTCAGCCAAGGAGGAGAATCGCCGGACGTCAAGAGAGGCAGCCATCATAGTGCCATCAAGATACAGGCAGCCTTCGCCGACATCCGGTAGGAGGCAAGCGAGTCCGGTGGTCTCAAGAAGGATGTCTCTTTCGCCTGCACGGAGGTTGTCCGGTGTGAAGGATTCTTCAGGAAAAAAGAAGATAACAGCTATTGCTGCCGGAATTTCCAAGGTCTCCGAGGCAATTGTGGGGTCTAGTAAATCTAGTAGAAAGAGTTGGGATGAAGGTCCAGCTGTCTCAGCTGGGCTGTCGGACTTCAAAGCCACCCGGAATAAGCCCGATTTGCAGGCAATTCTCAGAACTCAGGTAAAGAAAGCACTTCTTAGATGTTTTATAGGCTATCTGTTGCCTTTTTTCATCTTTTTATCCTACTAACTATTATAAATTTCAGATTTCTCAGATTAATGCAAGTATTTGTGATTTTGTTGTTCTCCTTCATGTGCTCTAATCTTTTACTTGACAGGCTGCCATTTCTAGGCGTTTGAGTGATGCAAGTATATCTCAAGATGATGGTGCAAGTGATGAAAAGGTGAAATGTGCAGAACGATCTGTAGAATCAGAGAAGCTGAACGTGGCTCCAGTCATACGAATTCATGAGAAGAAATGGACAGATGGCAGTGTTCCGCTAGACTCGCTCACTCCTGACCTTGCAATACTTGGAAAGGTATTCATAGAAGGGCTAGTAAATTTGATATGACCACATGCATTGTCTTGAGCTTACATGAGTTTTACATATAAGCTCAATTCAAACAAAAATGTCATTTGCAAAATGAAGATACGCAATTTTGAGGATTAATTGATGGTGATGAGAGAACTTGTTGCAGGAAGCTAGGCAAAGAAGAGTTGTTGCCTCAAAGGCTGCCGCAGATGCTTTAGAAGAGGCCCTTGCCACTGAATCCATTGTTAGAGGCTTGAGGTATAACGGACTTAATCCATTGAATTTGACTAATTTACTTTTGTTTGATTGATGACAATCAATATGATACCAGTTCCACTAAAGCAAAGCAATAATCACAATCGTTTTTATAAGTGTCATTCTAGGTGTGTGAATGCATACTACTAAAACCTTAAATTTTCTAACCTCTAGGTAAAATAGTATGATATAAATAGAATAACTCCTATTGATGTTTTCAAATTCTACATGCCATTTATGGGGGATAATGGTGGACCATACTAGTTAATTATCTCTTATGGTTTTCTATAATGATACTTAGCTGCGAATATCTATTCTCCTCAAAGGAGGATTGTTAAGAAAAAGAAAAGAAATTGAAAACTAGGTAACTGATTGAATGAACATTTCAGTAGTTTAGCAGGGAAAATAAAAAAGAAACAAGTTAGGTTCAACTAGGATCGGACTTTCACTTTTGGTATGATTGCTTGAGTGTATTTGTCGTATTTAGAACCAGCTTAAGTGAATGGTGATCAGTCCATGTTTGCCTCATTAACATGTAACAATAACATTTAATGTAATTTTTTTTTTGGCAGCATGTTTTCTGAAATCTGTTCAAGTTCAAAGAAGGCTGAGAACCCGTTGCCTACAATAGACCGCTTTTTGTCGGTCTATGAAGATGTGGTGAAATCAACATCAGTTGTTGAATCAGTCACCATTACCCACTCTTCACCAGAACTTCAAGAAAATTTCTCAACTGATCAGTCCAACAAACCATCTTCTCTTTGGGTTGAGGCTGCTTTGGCAACTGATCTTGAAGTCGTCTCGCTCCTAACAACAGACCACAACTTAGAACCTACACCATCCCCTCATGAGAAAAGTGCACCCAAGAAACATGGAAAATCAACATTATCATCTATCAAACCTTTTTCTGGACCAGTTTCTTCTTCTCCAGTTTGGAAAAGGGGTGAAGGAATGAATGAGACTCTGGAACTAGCAAAGAAGTTGCAAGCAGAGATGGAATTATGGTTCCTCGGGTTTGTTAAGGACTCGTTGGAAGTTGGTTTTCAGGTTCTCCAGAGATGCCCTTCCCAAGTAGATGGAGGAGATCTCAAGTGTGGCCCAATCGCGTCCATTCTTTCCCAGCTGAAGAGAGTCAACACCTGGTTGGACCAAATTTCCAGGAAAGAAGAGGGCTTGGCGGAAAAGATTGAGAGGTTGAGGATGAAGATATATGGATTTGTTATCCAAAATGTGGGATCAGTAGAAAATTCAGCATAATTTTGAGCTATTTAGTTTTTTCCTCGAAGAATGCCTATAGTACCTGCTGGTAGTAATGTGTTTGTTCTCTATTACCACCATATATGGTAGTAATGTATTTGCTTTTGCGATGATTTCTTGAGCAGAAACAGTATAATTTTTTACCTTTCTTAACAATTATTGATGCTCTGTTTGGCATTTGGAAGAGCAGTTTTTTTGTACTCGTTAAAAACCCATATATTCCTTCCATATTTTGGTTTAAAATATTCCATATTCCTGCATCTAACAAGCTACCAACTTACCCTTTTCTTCATTCCTTTTTCACTGTTCCTATTGCATATTGTTATACTTCACGGGAAACTAAAGTGAACTGAGTTGCTGAACTTCCTTATTTCATTCCAAAAAAATAAATATAAAACATAACTTACACCATACCAATTCTTTTTCCCTAATTACCCCTCACTGTTATCTGGTTTCTATCACTTACAAGTTACAAGTTACAAGTAGTAACACATGAAAATAGCAAAGCAGTGACACCTCTCTACTGGGAAATCTGCCACCGTAAGCTTCCCTGCATCCTTCAATCACCTTTGACATAAATAAATAAATCAATAAATCTTTTAATCAGCTAAACAAAGGAGGAGGTTCTCCTCCTCCAACATGAAAACAAATGCAACTACTTTAATTTGCACAGCAGAGACTAAATATGCCCCTTTTGGCATGTCACTTTCAACTGCCACTGGCCACTGCTAGTGTCACCTCCACAACATGTCACTGTCCTTTGCGATGACTTTCCAGAGAGAATTTCGGTGCCCAGCATTAGAGGCATTTCACTGTCATTGCAATAGTTGAGAGAGATTTTTGCGGGAGAGAAAAAAGAAAGCGATAGAATTAGTTGAGCAAATTTAGTCTTTGGTCACTCTTTTGGAAATATTAGTGTTTCATATTTGTCCATTGAAAATTTAGGATTAAAATCTGGCCTTTCTTTAAAGTAGTTATCTTCACAAGAATTTAAGCAGCAGTAATGAAATGCCAAGGGTAATATTGCCATTGTCTTACCAATCACCACAAGACTGCTTCACTTGTTGAAGTAATGGGGGTTTTCAAGATCTCTTGAAGCATTTATCACATCACACTTGTTGAATAACTTCAGCTGCGGATGGAGAGTTTTCACTTTCAGCTCCAATCTCACATTTGCAGAGCGGGCAGGATGCATTTAATCTCAACCACTTATCCACACATTCTGTATGGAAGAAATGGGAGCAAGTTAACTCCCTGACCTCATCGTCCTCCTCATAGTTAGACAGACATATACAACAAACCTGCAGCAACAGTTCAAGAGATGTTTTGGCAGCAAATAATGATAACCTATGTTTCTTTAAAAGCACCATGAGCTCACTAGGGCCGTCACTAGCTATTCCGAGGCTTTAGAAAGATTCAAATGTCAATGAAAATTGACACAACCATATTCAATATCATGGTCAAAGTTTACACTGTTTAGTGGAACATGGTCCATTATGATTTGGAAGCACTTTGGTGCTTTATGCATTAATAAAGGTAAAAAATAGTGTTCTTAATTTGAAGCACATTGATGGTAAAAGCTAAAAGCAAAGGGGAAAGTCCTTAGATTGCTTTTCAGTTCCTTTGTACTAATATTTTACCCAAATATTACAATAAGGTTACTCCCTCCGTCCCGAAATAATTGCCTTGCTTTCCTTTTTGGGATGTCCAAAAAATTTGCCTTGTTTCCTCTTGGAAATAATATGTGGCTCATATCAATTCATTTTTTTCTACTCAAATCTCAACAACAACTTTTACCTTTTCAACCACTTTCTTAAAACCTGTGCTAAAGCAAACAAGACAATTATTTCAGGACGGAGGGAGTACTTTTTTACCGCATAGCATTTCCACTTTTTTAAAGTTACTTATATTTTCAAATACTACCAGTTTTGCTATTAAGCGTTTTCTCCCTTCCCTCTAATCACTCAAACAAATCACTTGTAAAAAACATAAGCAAACAAAAAAGTGTCAATAACTAGTTTTAAAGATTTGCATATATAACACAATACTCCATAAAAGTTAAATCTTGTTATTTTTGGAACCAAACAAAATGTAATTGTATAAATTAGATTGTAGAAAATTTTCATAACGTCCTTTTTTAAACACAATTAATACCTCTATTTTTTTCATTATGGCGGGGTGCGCCGGGCCGAAGCAGGAGTGCAACGCTAAGGCGACGCCCAAGAGCCCAGATAGCAAGCTACCTATTGGGCACTTCCCCGAAAAAAATTTGAGTTAATATCGTGTGGGCCAATGGCCCACATATCAGATATTAAACTGATAAGAACAGATACTACACTTGATCTTAGCCAAAAGGCCGAGAAAGTGGGCCCACCCATAGATGTTCCCAACTGGGGCTTAGGTGGGGGTAGGTGCGGGCCGTGCGGCCAAGGGAGGGAAAAACTTACAGCATCTTCACCAGATATGGATCGTTCCTTATCCATACCAGCTTCCAAAAAACCGGCTCCTTCAGCACCAGATCCATTCTCTCCATTTTTCCTTGGTCTGAACTTATAAGTGGGCAGAGCATTAATACATTCTTCAGTTGCCCCCCTCATTCCATTCATATCTTCACGAACACCAAGGAATGATATGATACAGGGAAGGCAGCAACATATCATTGCACACAAGATGAAAGGCATGGCATACCCGATACAACTAAAGGTGAGGAAAACTATACATAACCTGCCAATCAAGTAAACAGCAGGTTGGTATTGCAAGAGTCAGGGACCCAGAGTTAACAAAAGCAGAAAGAGGAAGGGGATAAGACATTACCTATACAAATTAGGAGCATCAGAGGAGGAGGAATGCCCACCAAAGATCCAAACATTTCCAACAACGAACCAAACCGCGAAGAAGCAATCCAATGCCATTTTGAAGTGGCTCGTAAATGCAACAATCCTGACAAGAACATTTGTAAGGGGCTGACTGAACCAGATATAATGTACCATACTATGGTTAACTAAAACACAACTATCTACTATCGTACTGAATATTGGGGTGTGTTTGGATAACAGAAAAACAAGGGAAAGGTACAAGCTTCAACGTAAATTTATATGGAGTATTTTATGTTTGGTTTTACCTTGGAAAAGCAAATGAAATGAAATATGATTTTTATGTTTAAGGGTACACATATTTAGCCTATACAATAACAAACGTACATATATATATTGATTACCTACAATTATTTATCCCCCCCCCTCCCCCCCTCTCTCACACATTCACTTTGAAACACAAGAATCTATTGTCCTACTGAATATTAGGGTGTGTTGAATATTAAAGAAAAATCTGGGGAAGTGAAATAACTTCAAAGAAAATTTGCTTTCTTATTTTTGGATTTACCTTAGAAGATGCAAATAAAATGAAACGTGCTTATCCTTTATCTAAATTGTACATATGTTAAGTCTCTGTATAATAGAAATAAATAAACAAAATGAGTATCTACTAATAGCTAAAATAAATTTATCTACTTTTACCCTGATCTTCTATCTATGAGATCCAAATGGATCCCAATGTCAACATAAATTTCACAAAATGGAAAAATGTGTATGCGTCGAACTCTCAGAGTTCAGACAAAAAGAATATCCTATCACCAAATAAACATCCGTCTGATTTGTTCAAAGAAAATGAACAGATAATTAGCTACCTTGCATTTCGAGCTTCATCGTTATCAGTTGCATTATGGCCACCTTCATCCTCAGAAGACTGGGTCAAGGAGAATGTAATATAAGAGTTGGGATCCGATGTGGAACTAACTCTGCGTGAACCTTGAGCCGGCCCCCGTCCAGTGGCCTGACCACGATGGTGATAACGCCAATACAGGAGAGGAAGACTTGCAGCACACCCAACCGCATACCCCACAACCCAAGCAAACAATGGAGTTCGCGGCTTTTCATGCCTTGATATGGATAATACAACAATGGCGGCTATGATTTTTCCTAGAGTGAAAGAGAGCTCAATGGTCATCCACAATAAGATATTAAAAGGGCTCAAATGGCGACCTAATCCTTCACCTCTCCTTGTGACCATGGGACTTTGCGAATTTGAACGAGTTGATGAAGATGAAGGCCTATCTTCATGATGAGGTGGACTCAGTCCATGTGGAGTTTCATAATCAGAAGAATCTGATGATGAAGCATCACCCACACGTTCTATATTAATGATGTGTTCTTCCTTTTGACAATTTTCTCCTCCCTCCATGAGCAAAGGGGATGGATCAATTGGGTTTTCTCTACTAAGCTCTTCAGAGGTAACAGCCATTCACACCCAACTAACCCCAAACCAATTATCAAAACCTAGGTACATGCCAAGTATATATAATTCAAAAACACTTACCCTGGAATTAAACATAAAAGTAGCTCTTAGTTTCCTTTAGAAGGTGAATTTGTCCTCAGAATGAAGATTTTAGAAATCAAACGCATAAATCAGCCAAGAAAACACTCAAACTCTTGGTGTGAATACATTTCTTCACTAAGTGGCTGTTTGGTGCTTTTTCCGCCTGTTAGATTTCCGGAGGAATAATTCCAATGAATGGACGTGTTTACTGCTAATAGCTTTGGGAATTTAATTAGCAGCATTAGCTACCTGGTAAAGAGAATCACACAACTCTTCCTTGAATTTAATTCTAAATCCAAAGATTCATAGTCATAATTGCCCCAAACTTTCTCTTGTTAAGACAGAAGTTAACACCTTTTAAATTGACACATCTTAAAAGAATACCTCATGGAGTATAGATAAGAATAACATACCCCCCTCTTAAAAGCAACCCATTGTATAAATGTACACATCAAGTTTAGAACATCAACCCTAATCATAACAAGAATCAAATTGGCTTCTTGCTCTGCCCCAAGCCACTAACCTCACACGAAAAAGAGAAACCAAATTTGAGATTACAACCACATTACCTCAACCTCAGATGAGAGTTTACTAAATTTTAGTTTAAGGGAATAAGAGAACACTTTAGCTTTAATCAATCTAAAAGTAATGGAAACCAAATTTATTGAATGCTTATATCATAAAGCTATGGAAACCCAATTGAAAACAAAAATAGAAGAAAAACACATCCAAATTAAATTTCTCATATGTTGAACATTTCCTGTGAAATTAATTCATCTAAATCAAAGTCATATACATAACGCCTATTTTTAAACATTTTCTACCGATTATAAATTAATTCTTATAAACGAGCCATCATCGATCAGAACAAAAATAAGAGAAGTTCGATAAACAATGAATGTAGAGAATCGAATTTACCAGGGAATTGGGATGATTAATGAGCCCGGGTGATAATATTTTAAAGGGGGTGTATTCAATATGGATTGTTGTGGACTTTTTTTAATCCATGGACTTTTAAAAAAGTTAATGGACTTTTAAATCCATAGACTTTTTTACGAATGAATTCTATGGACTTTTAAATCCATAGATAAGTTATTGACATTCAAAAAGTCCATAGACTTTTAAATGCGGACCGCCACTGCTGGTCGTCAAAATTTTCACCTAGATTGTCGCTACCGATATGCCTATGACCTGTCCGCATCCATCACCGGAGTTCCCCGCTGTCGTCATCGGACTGACGCGTCACCAACAAAATGGCTTTGGTTGTGAAAGGGAACTAGGGACAATTAATTATATTAATTAATTAATTAAATTAGAGATGAATATGTAATATTTATTCTCATTTAAGAAAAACCAAACATTTAATCATACTTTAAGAATAATGCTATGTTTTAGTCCTACCGTGAGTGATTTCCTCTATATAATACGGAGTACGATAAGAAATAAATAAGTAAGTAAGTAAGTAAGTAAGTAAGTAAGTAAATAAATAAATAAATAAATAAATAAATAAATAAATAAATAAATAAATAAATAAATAAATAAATAAATAAATAAATAAATAAATAAATAAATAAATAAATAAATAAATAAATAAATAAATAAATAAATAAATAAATAAATAAATAAATAAATAAATAAATAAATAAATAAATAAATAAATAAATAAATAAATAAATAAATAAATAAATAAATAAATAAATAAATAAATAAATAAATAAATAAATAAATAAATAAATAAATAAATAAATAAATGAAAAAATGTAATTCATATAGCAAGACAAAGTTCTACAAAAATAAATGAAGCATAAGAATTCAAATTTATTTTTATTAAAAAAAACTCAAAGTTTCAAGAATGCTCGAGAATTTTGGCCATTTTATTAATGATTAAGAACATTAATCGTTACACAAGCGTTACACTCATTGCTACATGTGGTACAAGCATAAATGCAATCGAGCTTTTCTACTTAGTGATTGTATTCTTTTAACTTCTATCTTGTAAAAACTTGTATATGTATTTATGGTTATATATTTATTAATTTGAAATTATATTTTTATGTGTTAAGCGATTTAACGATGAAAGAAAGTGATAGTTAAAATATTTATTTTCTTAATGGTTAACTGATGACGTATCAGAATTGCATTGATGTAATACTATCGATTCTTATATCGGTTCTTCTATAAACTTCTAGAATCGAATCAATATAGGATTACTGAATCGAGGGGGGTGGACTGGGGACGGCAAGCTAAAGAAGAAGAAGAAGAATGGAAGGAGAGGGGTGGGCGAGCTGGGTTAAAGAAGAAAAAGAAGAAAGATTGAAGAGGAAGGTGTGGCTTGGCTAAAGAAGAGTAGAGTTGGGGGAGGGGGGGAGTAGGCTTGGCCTGAGGCCGGTCTGACTGGCCCGAGACCCGACCCGGCCCGCCACTGTGCGGGTCCGACCCGGCCCGTTGGATTTGTATCGGTACCGGGTCTAGGCCCGACCCGGGGGATTAATTGGGGCGGTTCCGGAACTGCATATTTGAGGACCAGCCCGGCCGGTTCGGGCCCGGTCCGGGCCTTATTTGTTTTCTTTTTTCTTTTTTTTGGGGGGGGGGGGGGGTTGGCCCTATGGTAGGTAGGCTGGGTGTTTTGGAGGGGTTGGGGGGTGAGGGTTGGAATATATAAGAAAACCGAAAAAAATGAACCAGCCCGGCCCAACTCGGAACTGGCCCGGCCCGATACCAGTAGACTCCCAGGCTGGTCCCGGGCCTTACCCAAAAAATTCCAAGCCCGGCCGGGCCCGACTCGGAACAGAAACCGGGTCTGGCCCGGTCCATCCCTAGGAGGGAGGGGAGGAATGGGGTGGGACGAGATGAAGAACCGATATAAGAAAAGTCCACGGAAATCTTTGGTGAGGAGAAGAGACAATTGCAGAGAATTTTTGCACTAAAAATGAGTTAAAAGTCCACGAGAATCCATGATTTTAGAAGTCAATAAGAATGAACGGAAATTTGAATACGCCTAGACTTTTATAGACTTTTAAAAGTCCACATTGAATACACCTAGACTTTTGTGGACTTTTAAAAGTCCACATTGAATACACCTAAACTTTTAAAATCCATGGACTTTTAAAATTTTGCCACTAAATCCTAATACAATACACCCCCCTAAGTTTTCTTGCCTTTCATGGGGCATTTCCTGTCTCCAGCAAGAAAATGTCACCTTTTAATAACTTTACGGATTCCATTTTATTCAATAATAATAATCCAATCTTTGAGTCCTTATTATGTTAGTTATTATGTTAGTTATGTAAATATTTCCAATATTTTCTTATTTATTGTAATTATTATCATTTAAAAATATTCAATTAAACATTTATACATTTTTATTTTTTGCTCAATCCTCATACTTTATGAGTTTTTTTCTTAAATATTTATGAAATATAATAATGAACAAAAATATTATGTAGTATTACAGTTAGTGAGCATAATCATATTGTGATAAAGTTGAACACAATCGTAATCACCAAAGTTACTAATAGTGATTATTCGATAATATATTTTTGTCCTTACCTTTATTCGATAATATATTTGTCATTATTTCATACTTTATACAATTTCAATACCATTCAAAGCCCTTTTGGTAATACAAAAATCGGCTGAATTAGCAGATTCTGTTGAAATTTATAAAACTCTAGCTGAAGTGGCTACATTGGCTGATTCTGCTAATTTATGAAAAAATTAAATTAAATTTTTTTATTAATAAAACAAAGAAAAAATTATATATAAAATAGCTAAAATGGTTTTCTATAGTAACTTCAGCCAATACAGATGAAAAAGTAATTCCAACCTCACTTTTTCTTATTATTACACAATTTAGTGCGTAAGATCTAAAGTTACGTGCCTGATGAAAAATTTAACTGATAAGCCTGAGAAGCTGAAAAAGAAGTTTACAAAAAAGGGCTCTCATTATCCATATTATGTCACATTGAATATTTTTGTAAAAGCCTAATGTTGCAACACAAAATACTACGTAATACTACGTAATTAACATATTAATATGGAGAAATAACTACATTCTTGAATCCAATTTCATTCTATTCGTGCGACATGTGACCAATTATTTCACCTCCCTCATCTATTCTATTTATTTATTATATATTATATATATTATATATAAGAAAAGAGATAGCTCATAAAAAGACATTTGTACTCTTAATCAGTGGCGGAACTAGGGGGGGCGAGCCGGTGCTGCCGCCCCCCGGACATTTGTACTCTTAATCAGTGGTGGTGTATATATATGTGTATATATGTATATACAGCCCCGTCTCAAAGTAATGTAATAAATATTAACCGACCTGAATTATTACAAGTAATCTAGGTAGCAGGGACGGTAGAAGCTCGCTCCGCTTTCCAGCATACTCGGGTTCGAGTCCCCCTGGTGTCTGTTTTTTTTAAATTGTTTAAACCTCCTCTACTTTCTCTTCTTTTGTGACCTCTACTTTCTCTTCTTTTGTGACTGTTTTAGTTTTAATTTTAATTTTTTTCCTATCGCACTACATTTCTTTTACTTTTATTTTACTTTTTTATTTTTCCAATTCATAATATTTAACTTTTTTTACTTTTTCGAATATTGACATGTTATTTACATTTTCTGTTAAGTACAATGACTATAAAGTTTTAACTTAACATAACTATTTATTCTTTGCTTTAGTACAAATATGCCAAAACTTCTTGTTAATATTTGAAATATGCGACTTTAATTATATGTGTATGATTAAATTTATGTAATACATTTGCATAAATAAAACAATTAATATTCTTTTAAAAAACAAATAACCTAGAAACAACGTTAAATTGAAAAGAGAAAAACAAAATTATTATTTTCTTGATAAGTTAGTAACTTACATATACTCCGTATGGGAGTTTTAATTTATCTTCCTCTACTTGTTTCGCTATATTTCTATTTAAACCTTGATATTTAAAACGAGCGTATTAAATCGAAATTTAAACAAAACTTTAAAATAAAATGACAAGTGTTTTAAATCGAAATAAACTCGCGGGTTAAGAGAAAGTCTATTGTTTTTGTTTGGGCACTAGAAGACAAATATAGATGGAAATATATGTGATTGTATATGTATGTGTATGTGTGCGCTTGTCTAAATAAAGAGTCACTTCATGAAAATGAAAATATTTCTTCTGCATCCAATTTGAGATCAAATTAATCTATATAAATACATAAAAAAGAATACAGTAGAGATTATATATCTTTCCAACTTAATGATTTGATTTTTTTTCGCCCCCCCTCAAATTTTGTTCTGGTTCCGCCACTGCTCTTAATGAATCTCATGTGTCAATCTCTCCTTAATTCACTCCTCTATTATACAAATGCCACATGGCTATTTTGAAGGATAAATACGGAAAATAGACAATAGCAACCGAAAGGGCAGCATCTTCTTAAGGAGTGTTTGCAGTTGATTAAAAAAAGCACTTTTCGGTTTTTGACTTAAAAAAAGTTAAAAAGAGTGTTTTCAAATGACAGCTTCTGCTTAAATTAATCACTTAAAAGCTAAAAGCTGGAAGCAGGTGGAAGGGTGCTTTAAACTGCTTTTCACTTTTTCTATTACACAAAAAGTACTTATTTTACCAAACACTACCAACTTTTATTTTTTCAGAATCACTTTTTTCTCAAACACTACCAACTTTTACTATGAATCACTTTTCCCCAAATCACTTTAAAAAATCACTTTTTTAAAGTTGAAGCAATTACAAACACTCCCTTACTGAGCATGTTACTTCGTATAAAAAACGTGACATCAATGTGTGGGGGCCCAATGTTTTTAAAAACTCTATTTTCTTTAAATTGTTATATCTTTTTTTATCATTTATATGATTTTAATAAAAAAACATATCAAAATTCATAATTTTTTGTGATCATTCAT